CCCTGAGAGTTGAAGGAATTCTTAGAGTCCTTCTTGTGGTTGTGTGGATGCTAAGAAATAGCAGTTGATGTATCTTCCCATAGGGTGAAAAAAATTTTCCAAAGTCATCTTCTTTTTTAATTTTTTCTTCCCAAGAACTTTGTGCCACACATTTTGATGCTTTAAATTGTTTTCTCTGTCTCCTGCTGGATCCAGTGCCCTCACTCTATGCTCCATCCCTGTGCTAAAATTCACACCTTTGTGGCTTTCCCTAACATTCGTCTACCCAGTTATATTGGCCTTTGTCCTTTTGTGTCCAGCCTCAGAAACTCAAGGCATATGAAAAACTTTCTAACCATCTTGGTATAGCTAACGTGAAGGTGTCACCCTGAATCCAAGCCCCACAGCAGGCCTTTCCTGAATCTCCAAAGTGATTCAGTCATTACACCTTATGTGTGTGTCCTGTTTGATGGGGCTCTCCCTTTTTATTCATACATATTGTGCTTTATTATTTTGTTCAAAGACTCTTTACCCAGCGTATAAAGATATGCTCTTGGCTAGATCTTTATATAAGAAATTCCCTTTCCCAGACCATTGTCATATATTAGGTGCTTGATACACACCAACTTCTTTCGTTGGTGTTAGAAGAGGGAATTGAATTCCCTGGTTTGAAACATTCACAGGACATATTGGATTGTGCTGAAGCTGCACTGAGTTTCTGAGGCTGAACACAAAGGCATTTGATGAGCCTTTATAAATTGGAGAAACAGGCAGGCATGGATATTATCTGACTCTACAGCTGTTATGTATATTGGTAGACTAGTACAGATGAAACAAGGGTATGGTCGATTAGCTTTCAGGTGTGGTTTTCTGCTCTCATCTCTGTCTCCTCCTCCTCCAGGAGAAATGAGCCTGTGAGCTTACCCAACAGGAGAAGGGTGCCATGGAGAGCACCATGGAACAGAGGAGCGTGATGGTGCGCAGTAAAATCAGCGATGTTGGCAAGAGGAATGGTCTGATTAACACCAGGAACTTGATGGCAGAGGGTAGAGATGGACTGGTGTCCATTTATCCAGCACCCCAATACCAAAGCCGCCGAGTAGTGGCTGGTACCACACCAGCTGTCCTGGATGGCAACAGAAGTGATTCAATTCAGCAGCTGCTAGACCCTAACACCCTTCAGCAGTCAATGGAGTCTCACTACCGTCCCAACATCATTCTCTATTCTGAGGGTGTTCTTCGCTCCTGGAGGGATGGCATGGGTACTGACTGCTGTGAGACCACCTTTACTGAGGACCATCCACCCACCAAAGACAGCCTGGAGTACCCTGATGGGAAGTTCATCGAACTCTCAGCCGACGACATCAAAATTCATACCCTTTCCTATGATATGGAGGAAGAGGAGGATTTCCAAGAGCTGGAGGTCAGAGGATGTTTGTTAGATTCCATTTTCATAGATTGTGTGAGATGGAATGGTGGGGGTCTAGTGGGAACCCATGAGTTAGGGAATGAAATCATTGCACGGAAAGGCAAAGAAGGTAAAGGCATTCTTGATACTTCTTAACTCTTGAATATTTATGAAGCATGAACTAAACCCACTACCATTAAGTCAATTCTAACTCATAGTGACCCTGTATAGGGTTTTCAAAACTTTACATCTTTATGGAAGCAGATAACCTCACATTTCTCCCATGAAGCAGCTAGTGGCTGTGAACCACTAACAGTGAGGTTAGCATCCCATCACTTATCTGAAACCATTACTAAGGTTCCATTTGAAAGACAGAGTGGAGAGAAACTGATACATGAAGACCGAATAGATCAGTGATTCTCAATCTTCCTAATGCCACAACCCTTTAATATAGTTCCTCATGTTGTGGTGACCCCAAGCCATAAAATTATTTTCATTGCTACTTCACAACTGTAATTTTGCTACTGTTATGAATTAGATGACCCCTGTGAAAGGGTCGTTTGACCCCCAAAGGGGTAATGCCCCCACAGGTTGAGAATCACTGCAATAGATGTTTCGTCAGTTATTCTGAT